TTGCTGTGTACATTTCACCAATATCAGATGCTTTTGATCAGCTGTAGATAGAGCTGGGACGGACCACAATCTTCCATTCCTACAGTCCAGCTGTAATTTGTCTTTAATGTGATTTGGCCTCTACCTGTATGTCTGAGTCAATTTGCCTGCAGGCAGTGAGGCACCTGAATCATTTATACCAAGCAGCTGGTTGTGGCGTGAAGGTGCAGAAAAGCTGCCCCAGACACGCTTATTCTGCAGAATCAGGAATTTCGTAGGCGTTAAATTGTGCGGCTTGTGCACCAACTTGTTGCATTTCACCTGCAGCCACCTTTGAGTAAAGCCTCACTCGCAGAAGACGACGTTTCAGCGCACAGCTTGCCAATTTTCCTCGCTGAGTAATGCAACTCCACGTGGACTTTTGGAGTTGAAATCTTTTGGCTGCGTTCACTTTACCTCTGATGACCCCCTCGAAAAACTGTAATTTTCTAACTTAATAGCTGGAAGATATCAATCACAAGGCATTATGAGTTCAAATATTTTGGGAAGTTTTATTAATTGAGACCGGGTCACAGCTGTATTGGTTCCACATGAGGTTAAGAGGTATGTGGCAAGAGCGAGAGGACTGTCATAATGGGGGGGAGATGGAGGAGGGCTGAATTCTGCAGCTTGTGCTTAAGTGTTTTTGATAGAATGAGGGAGTGAAGGGGTGATTTGGGGAGTGAGAAAGGAAAAAAACTGAGGGAGTGCATGACATTCTTAGTGCATCTGGGCAAAATAAGCAGTCGGCGAGTGAGCATGTAGGACAGAAATAGGAAGGATGAGTGTTGAAAGAGCACAGGAAAAAAGGGGAAGGAAAGGACAGAAAAAGCAAGTGAGAAGCAGAGGAAAATGAAGAGAGAGCATCCAACCAGGAACGCAGTCTTGGCTTGCTGTGAAGTGTCAGGAAGGATGGAGGGAGGAATGGAAGGAAGGTGGATGAGATTAAACAGCAGAGAACGAGAAACTGATCCCTAACGGCAAGAGTGACGACCGACGGTGGCAAAGAAGAGACAGAACTAGGAAGAGAGACATCAATTAATCATATCCTGGACCTGTAAACGCAAGAATTGCTCGCTGTCATCCCCAGAAGGGGGCACAGAAGCGTGCGAACGCGAGAGTGTGGGAGAATCAGGTGGTGTGGTGGGACAGCCAGGATCCCTCCAGAATGAGTGACACTCTCGCACACACCCTCCCACACACAAACACGCGCTCCCTCATGGAGGATCCAATGCAGCTGCGAGATCCAGGCGCTGCCGAGGATATGAAGGTGAGTGCCTGGCTCCAGCTAACTCAGGCAGAGAGGTATCAAAGCTGGGTACTTTTCTCTGGGTCTCAAGAGCTGGACGCTGAACGGCATTCGTTTCCTTCGTGGGTCGTTTTATCTGCCATCGCACCTTCTTCTGTGTTTGAACGCAGTGCATTTTGGGCTTGTGGTGTCTGGCATGCTGTGTTTGTATTAACTGACATGGGATCTTGTTGTAAGTGCAAGGGGAGACTCTTGTGAATTAAGTTTTTTTAACAAATTTTTTTCAGTGTTTTAAATCTATTTTACATGTTTCCTTTGAAGGGATAGTTTACCCAAAATCATTCACGCAACTTCATGTTGTTCCAAACCTGTATGAACTTTATTTTGAAGTTCATATTTTGAAGAATGTTTTCACGTTTTTGCCCATACAGTGAAAGTCAATGAGGTTCAAAACATTGGACCCTTTTGACTTTCATTTTATATATATATAAAAAAACTTCTTTTACATCATGTTCCACAGAGTAAAGTCAGTAAAAGAGTGAGTAAAAATGACAGAATTTAAATTTTCGCATGAACTATCCCTTTAAAGGGTCATTAAAGGGTCTGTGTTTTTATAGTAAGAAGGATCTGGCTATTTTTGAGCAGTTATCAGTTTGTGGGATGTGGTTTTCCAGAAGGAGCATCAGGAGGTCATACACTGCTTGCCAATTGGATAAATGTAACATGCACTGTTAATTGCTCACTTTGATAATAAGTATAGATGCAGTGTCTGCCAACACCATAAAAATACAGCATGTTATAGAGGCTTCTATAAAACATGAACAATACACACGCCTTAAAGGAATATTTCACTCAAAAATCGATCATGTACATTACATCATGTCATCCTGTATGACTTTATTTCTTCTGTGGAAAATAAAATACTGTATGTTTTATGTAACATATAGAGAGTTTTAAAGATATATGTTTTTTTTCCCCCATATACAATGAAAGTCAATGGAGTTTAAGTTTAGTGTTGTTTTGGACCCCATTGACTTTCATTCTATGGACAAAAACAGCTCTTCCAAATAACTTATTTTGTGTTCTGCACAGACAGAAAGTCATGATGTAAAGTAAAACGATGACCGAATATTCATTTTTAGGTGAACTGTCCCTTTAAGGCATCTCTCAGCTGTGGTTTGGTGGTTTCATTAGTTCGATTCTTGTAGCATCATCATAAAGCTGTATCATGACATTGTTGAAGTTCAAGGAAATTGGTTGGGATAGTTATGTGCCAAGATGTCTCTCGGCTGAGAAAGTCAAAGGAATAAATCAACACCAGCAGAAGACCACTTCAATGCAGTGCTATTTTTACTTCATAATGCGAAGCATGATGGACCAACACCCATGATTTTGGTCTAGAAACGCATTTTAACTTCTGTTTGCTATTAAATCTTGATTAGAAGGGCGTTCTGAGTTAAAATGCAGCCAGTAGACTTTTAAAAAAGACATGAGCCTTAAAAGTAATCTTTTTCTGAGCTTTGATTTTTCCTGTGAATCCTGCCGGAGCCCCTCCTCCATCCGTTTCCTCGCTGAGGCTGTTAGTACTGACAGTTGTAGCATCTATTGATGTGTTCTAGCTGGAGGTGTTCTGATTACCCTGCTAACTGCCAGCTTCACTTAATCCTCTGGAGATTCATGAAGGCAAAGCCATAGAACAACATCATTGTGGCTAATCCACTGCCTGTCTGACTGATGTAATGTGGACATTGCACATGCACAATGGCATCAGGGTCCTCGGCGGTTTACGGTGACGCAGAACACAAACAAGTTTTCGGGCCTGTGCCAAAAGAGATAAGAGGCAAAAATCTGAGGAAGTCCGGTTCAAGAACGCTAACCTACAGTCGGTGGACGCCTTCATCCTGAACCACGTCTCGGCTCTGTGTTTGCTTCTAGTAGGGGGTTGCCTGGATACGTTCCGTTTGCAGAGTTTCAAAATGTTTTTGTTTGACTAAGAGAATATTGATTTCAGGTTCTCCCGCATTTCCCAGCCAAGAGAAGATGTTCCAAACGGGCCTGGCTTAGTCTATTGTTTTTAGAATTTGGAATAAAAAGCACAACCATTATAGATGTTTTTGAAAGGTTAAACATTTTCTTTCTGCAACTGGCTGTATTGGAAATCATGTATCACATTCATTCTTTATTAGTCCAAAACATTTGTCAAGTTTGACTGTTTTCCAGAAAGACTGATTTGGTAAACGTATGCACGCAGATTAGCTGCAACATATTGTATAATATGTCATGTCGAAATACTCTAATTAAATGAAACTATATCAAGTGAATAATCATGCTGGGAATCATATGACAGTCAATAGAGGACTGAATGCAGACCACAAGGCCAAAAGATTTTTGGACTGCGACCATCAGGCTTTGTGTATTAAGCTGGTCATAAACAGAGGCTTAACCATTGGCGCTATGAGATGCGGTACTTAGGATAGTGGGTTAAATTTATATTAAAAGTCTGACAACTCACATTATGGACACTGAAACAGAAACAATTTAATGTGTGTCTGTGATGTATGTACACGGTACAGTATATTATCTCCGTACTGTAAATACATGTATTATATACATGCAGTCAAACCAAAATTTATTCAGACACCTTTAACATTTCTCACATTATCTCACAGTTTATTCGCTATAGTTTAGAAAATGGTAATAAAATATGATAAGAGCTCAGTGTTATCAAATCAGTTGATATTTCACTGGTTTTGGCCACCCTTCTGTTAGACTGTCTCACTAATGAATTAGGTTGAATAGCTGTCAGCTGTTAAATGTAAGTACACAATTAGATAATACCAATTTAGATCAACCAATTACCAAGCAATGCTTAATTTGGTTCAGTCTCTGGTGTAAAAAGGTCGCATTAGCAATTAAAGAAAAAACACTCAGGCAAAACATGGTCAGGTCAAAGTGTCTGAATAATTTTTGGTCCCAAATGTTTATAAATTTGACTGTATAAAGACTTTTTGGGTATAATGTCACAGATAACTTTATTTTGCTATCCTCACTTACATAAATGAACTATAGTGTCCTACACCCACTAGAAAAAAAAACCCATCAAAAATGATATCTGGTGTCTAAATCATTTTTGGTTTGACTGTATATATACTGTATATATATATAAATGAATAAATATATATGAAAAAAATATTTTTGAATGAAATATATTTGTAACATTTTAGTAACAAATGTTTTTGTTAATATTATCTCTTAATATTATTTAATTGACCAGATCTAACATGAACTAATTATAAACAGTCAATTACCAAACTGGAACAAATGTATTGCTCATTGTTAGTTATTTATCCAGTAGATTCTATTCAGGAATCTTTTGGTATGCTGGTTTAGAAATGATCTAGTGTAATGTGGCCTCTTTAATGGAAAGTGAGTTATTAGGTTGTCTTCGTTTATTAGCAAAGTCATTGATATCTTGAAACTGAATGCAGGAACGAGCAACATTTGTGCAAGAGATGAGCTGCTCACCCTGACTTGATCTCACAGGTGTCCTGACTCTTTGCACCATATGTTCACCCTTTAGCCATGTTCTACTGCCACTGTACTGCCACCTAGACCTTTCCATCAACATGATTAATGACCTTGTCTGTCTAATGAGAGCTGGACCAGAGTTTAGTTTCACACGTCCTTTCTCTTTTCCCTTTCCCCCTTTCTCTTTCTCCTGTTCTGTGTTCAGATGGATCCTGTTCAGAAGGCAGTGATCAACCACACCTTTGGAGTCCCACTGGTGAAGACCAAACGGCCAATCATTTCCTGCAATGTCTGCCAGATCCGCTTCAACTCTGAGGTGAGGCATCTGATATTGGACTGTTTGACATGCATGTTCTCTTTGATGGCTTACTCAAATGGCTTGTTATTGAAGACATGAAATCGTATATAGATTTCTTAGATTGAGTTTTCTATGTAATATGAGTGTTATGTTTATGTTGCTGAGATACTTTGCACACTCTGCTTTCTAGTCCGGAAATAGCCAATGGCAAATCCTCTTTGAAGTACTGTATCCGCACAGCATGTCAGAGTGAATGATTACAGGATGAAGCCTTTTTCTTTCTTTCTACGATTAAAAAGAGTTTTAAGAACATCTCTCAACATACAGTAGTATCTCAATTGTAAGATATTATTTCCACCAGGAAATCCTACAGAAACCTTCCTACAAAAACAACGTTAAATTTTAGACTTCCCACCGCCGTCACTTTAGACTCCATTTTAGACTTACCACCGTCATTTATTGCAAGATTCCTATCGCACATTTTGCAGTTCCAATATTCCTTGCGCATCAATGAAAGCAATTATGTTAGTTGTTTATGCTATACGCTTGTTTGGGGGGAAACTTAAGCCTGATATATTCTGGGCTGAATTCAGTTGCAGCTGTGGCAGACATTGTGACATGTGTGAGATTAGTAACAGAGCAGGACCTGGGAGTGTCCCACTAGCCTGCGCTATTTTTACGGACGAGAACTGTAATCATGGACCGAAAGTGGCTTTCTTGGTGTGAGCCTGTAATCTTGGGCCTCCAGTCGAGCAGATGTATGGCCTTCTTTAAACCACATCCACAGACAATAAAAAACAGGGAGAAGACGGAGAGGCCAAGCCTGCATGTGAAGACCTGCGAAAATAGCTGTTAGCCCAGCTCGCTTTTAATGATTTATGGGGAGAGATTTTGAGACAACTCAGCAATTCTGTGAAACAATTGGACTTAAGAGTTGTAGTAGGTTCATTGGAGGTGGAATTTCATGGAGGGGAAGATTAGATTGAGGTTGTATACTGCAGTTATTTCCATCATCTAATGTTGCTTTGTTTTGGTTCATAGTAAATATCCTAGACGGCTGTTAGTTCAGCTATAAATTCCATATCCCAAAGTGCCACCCAAAGATGCCTTTAGTTTACAACCTAGTTCATGACCCTCAAGTCAAACGAGTTCGACACATACTGTACAAGTGTGCTTGTAAATAATAATAATGCATGCTGTTCAATAAACCTTAAGCACTTGACTACAGATTCGACATCTCTGACACCTGCAGCTGTCCTGTTTGTAAAAGATAGGCATATAATTTCAACACCCCTGCTTTGCATTTAACTACACACTCACACATGTTGTGTTTTCATGTTTCATGGGGACTTTCCATAGACATAAGGATTTTAATACTGTACAAACTGTATATTCTATCCCCTTACACTAACGCTACCCCTAAACCTACACATCACAGAAAACTTTCTGATTTATAAGTTGTTTTCCTCACGGGGACCAAAACATTTCCACACAAGGACAAGGAATTTGGATATTGCCATCTTTGTGGGGATCCCATAATGTAGGGTTTACAAGGACACACACACACACACACACACACACACACACACACACACACACACACACACATCTAAGGCCCCGTCCACACTACTGCGTTTTCGTTTAAAAACGGAGACCTTTTGCTACGTTTGCACCTCCCGTCCACACTAAAACGGCAAAAACGGAGACCCAAAACGGAAAAGTTTAGAAACGCTGCCGATCCGTTTTTCGTTTAGAATCTCCGGAGGGCGTTTTAGTGGTGACGGGTCAAACCGGAGGACTTTAGAAATGATGCCGTAGTAGAGGCTCACGCTCGGCTCTATGATTGGGTGTCATCAGTCATGGCGTATATCTTTGCTAGCAGCTGTTGTACAAGTACATTCTGCATTTTACAACGCTATAACTGCCTACATGCGCCGGAGTCAAGCTATTATTCGAGCGATCTGTGACAATTCCCGTGTGCAGCGGCGGCGTTGACCGTACATGGAGCGTCGGTTTGGGGTTAACCCAGAGCATGGTGGGATAATTTTATCAATGAAGTTGTGTTTACACCGGCACGCGCATGCCCAGTGTTGGTGAATGGTCACGTGATCCGCGTTTTCAGTCGTTTTAATGTGGACGGAGATCAATTCTAATACGCAGCTTAAACGCTGGTGTGGACGGAGATCATATTCGTTTTAATTATCCGTTTCTAAACTAAAGCGCAGTAGTGTGAATGGGGCCTAAATGGGGACATTCCATAGACGTAATGGTTTTTATACTGTACAAACTGTATATTCTATCTATCCCCTTACACTAACCCTACCCCTAAACCTACCCATCACATTAATAAACTGCATTTTTATATAAAAAAAAAAAACTTTAATTACTTTGTTTATACCAGATTTTCAAATAAGGACGTCCCTAAAGGGAGGTTTTTGGAGATTTTGTCAGGTTTTTGGTCACTTCTGGGTACAAATTTGTCCCCAACATATAGCTAAGTAGGCACACACACACACACACAACCACATGGCACTTTCCACAAAAAGGGTACAATATGGGGCCTGCTTTTTTTCTTACTATTATTATATAATTTTTTTATACAGAACCACATTTTTTTTGCAAAAAAATATATAAATATTTTGATCATATTTTTAAATAACATGGGTAAGGGCTGATGCTTAATAAATACAATTATTATGACTCATATCAGTTTAACGCAGTCACGGGCCCACCGGTGGGCCCAAATCCTTTACATTTTTAAAACAGTAATATCCTATACTAAACCTAAACTAATCTTGACAAACTATATATCATTTGAAAGCTTACAATCTCTAGTTTCCATATTTGGTGATTGATTTTCAAAATAAATTACAGAGGAGCCGTAATTTATCAATTTGCAACAAAATTTATCTTCATACTCTTAGACCTTTATTTTGAAATAGTGATGAACATGAAAAATCATGAAAGAAGGGTAGAAACCTCAGTTTGTTTTCATGCCAAGAGTTCAAAAGATAGCATCCATTTAATTATTTTAAAAAAAAAAAGGTCTGAATTATTTTTTTTATATAAAGAAAAAAATTATATGATGTGGCAGGAAGCTAAAACGCACACATGCGTGTTCTTTTTATGTTTCTTAGAGGTTGAAATCATATCAAAATCTGCCAAACTTCTCATATTACTTCTGAATAGGATGTCTACTTCATAAATTGTATGAAAATAGTGGAAATAATGGTTCATATCACTCAAAACACATATGGAAATGGAGGCGCCCTAATATGGGCAGTAATGGAGTCTGCTTGTCATCTAGTGAAAAAGTTTGGTACTGCGCACAAACAAAATCTTACTGAAAGCTCATTTTTTGAGATATCAACCTAAAATTTGAAACACAACTTGTTCAGATTTTTGGCTTTGATTTTTTTGCAGTTTTAGAGTCGCCCAGGTTTTGAAAATATATATTTTATATAAAATATGAATAATAAATTTTTTTACATTGTACATTTTCATAAACTCAAACTTCTATAACTTTTTTTCTGTTTCACTTTCTTAATTTATTTCACTTCTACAACAATCTGCCAAATGTCTTCTTTAAAACAAGACCAATCTTACGTCTATATTCCAAAGCATTCTTGAATTACAACCATTTAAGTTCGAAATGTGCATTTTCATGTATATTCAAAAAAAAGGGGGTGACACTTAAAGGGTTAAGTGAAAAGTATGACATATTTTATTTATTCATTCATTTATTCTTACATTTTTCAAATGATTTTATTATTTTTGCATTTATTCATTTAGTATGATTTTTAATACACGATACATACATTGTGTGTTTAAAACTAACTACTTTTCATGCTAGGTTAATTTTACGTTAGATTAGAACATAAAAAAAACGTAATTTGGGTATTGAATTTTTCTTTTTTTAAGTGTGCTGTATCCGTGGACAGTGCCACATGCAAACACTCATAAACCTTCATACAAACTCACACATTCTTTTGTCATTGTCCTAACTATTTAAACTCTTATTTATTTTTAAAGTTGTCAGGCATCAAGTGTTCACGGCGTCAAATCAGTTGTGAGCGAAAAACGGAGAGATCAAAAGAAAAGACATCAAACAATTGCAAGTTCGTATGTTTTATTCGAAATCGTGCTACTTCTTTCATGCATTGTTGCACTGGAAATGATTCAGCTACGTTAGGAGATTAAATTATACAATGCCATGTTTCATTAAATGGTTTCACAGAGCAACGAGTCTACATTTTCTTCCTCTACTATGCTGAATAAAGCAATGCATTTGTTCCTTGAAAATATCTAATCCCTCGCCTCCTTCCCATCATCATTTCACGCTCCATTATGGATTCATAGATTCCACACCCCCCAGTGCCGATAACTGAGGACATTTGTAGTGGAAAAAGCAGACTATTGGCTGCCAGCAAGTGTTATCTGATGCATTCATCAAACTAAGAGCTCAGACTTGTGTTATGCTGTGCTGCCAGTGTCCCTCTGTCCCTTTCACTCTAGCGCAAGATGGAGGTATAACCTTGCCGCGCTGCAGAAGTGATGTCACCATATTGTGTCACTGTTGCTGCAGGACAGGGTTGAATGCGTGTCCCTCCCACTGCCAGAGCTGCAATGGCCCACCGATGTCGCACAATTTCCGTCATTCACTGGCTGGTTTTCCGTCACTAGGGCAAATTAACCTTCCTTCCATGTGTGTGATGAGCGTCGGGAATAGCCACAGCTGTCAATCCTCCTCATGCAGCCCTTTCCCATTTTGTTGTGGTAATTGTATTTATGTTGGTGTATGTTGCGTTACATACTGTTCACACGTGGTTCAAAGAGACTGGGACAATCTGGTCTCTGTGTCCTAATTTGTCCTTGGAAAAGTTCTTCATGCTTCCTGTTTTTCCATCGTTGTGCTTAGGAGAATTAATCTTGTGCTCTCAAAACCAACTCATCTCTCTTATGTAAAACCCTGTGCCATCTGGGTGAGAACTTTCCTCGTTTCCTTGTTCTATAGATAGCGCTGTATTCATACCAGCACTTCATTCTCATTGGTACATTTTGGATTTGGCTTGGTACTTGATTTGTATTCATATCTAATGGCTGAGGTATTCTTCACACATAATGCATGCCCTCTCTTGTAAGTCACTTCATTATGAAAGAATTAACTGAGAATTTCAATGAATGAATTCTGTATGTGGGTTCAAATTGGATTTGTATTGCTAATAGTTGAATTTCAGTTAGGAACTGGCCAAAACAGCTTAGCTACAAACTGGTTGTTAAAAATAAGTATGTTTCTGAAGGATGATAGTGTCATTTTATCAGTTATTTTTTTAAATATCAGAACTGAATGATGCTCAGTTGCATTCTCATTGATGCATTCTTTCGCCAATGCGGACGTACCACCATACAAAAATACTCAAGACACAGAACTGTACTACTATTCGGTGTTTGTCGACGCAATGGCGCTGCTGAATCTACGGCATGAAAAGGACAACATAAGCAGTTTAGTCCAGATCCCGAATCTTAAGAACCTGTTCTTTTTAGTGAATCAAAATTTTGCATTGCAACCAGTGTAGTCTGACTCTCAAACAAATGACTTTAATGAATCGGTTCTTTTTAGTGAATTCGAAAACATACAGTGTAGACTGATTCCTGAATGAATGATTCTAATAAGCAGTTTCTTTTTAGAGTATCAAACAAATACAGCTTACAATTAACTGTGAGAAATGTAGTTTCTGATTGGTTGTTCATTCATTCAACAATGTGTAAAGATGCACAGTATGAGTTTTGTCAGTAGTATTTAAAAAAAATGTAATGTTTTCCTCATGTTTTGATTGTAAATTGAAATTGTGTGTGTATATATGTATATAATATATATATACACTACCGTTCAAAAGTTTGGGGTCAGTGAGAATTTTATTTTTATTTTTTGGAGGAAAGAAATCAATACTTTTATTTATCAAGGAATAATTAATTTGATCGAAAGTGACAGTAAAGACGTTTATAATGTTACAAAAGTCTTTTGAACTTCCTATTCATCAAAGAATCCCAAAAAAAAAAAAAAAAAAAAAAAGTACAACTGACAGACCAACAACTGTTTCAACATTGATAATGATAATAAATGTTTCTTGAGCATCAAATCCTCATATTATACTGATTTGTGAAGGATCATTTGACACTGAAGACACTGACACTGGTGATGCTGAAAATTCAGCTTTGATCACAGGAATAAATTACACTTTACTGTATATTCACACAGAAAACAGCTGATTTACACTGGAATAATATTTAATACTATAACTGATTTTTGTTGTATTTTTTATCAAATAAGCGCAGCCATGGTTAGCAGAAGAGAATTCTTTTAAAAGTATTTAAAATCGTACCGACCCCAAACTTTTGAACGGTAGTGTATATATCAAAGCCAATTATTTGATTTAATTTATGACACCTCTAAAAGACGGTTTGTGTAAATGCATTATTAAAGAATTAATTTAAAATAAATAAATAATTCGTATTCAAGGATTTAAAAAAATGACAGCATTTTTATAAATTTTTTAGTCCTTACTAAAAGAATTGCTAAGAGGAATTGGAACTAGAAACGTTAAATTCTTTACTTTTACCATTCCTAGTCACAGACTGTTTAAAAAAATACTTGTAATCTCCAGTATTGACTGCATTCTCTGTAACTCATGGTTGTGATTACCGCCCTAGACAGTTTGAGTCTGTTGCTTGCACGTGGCAATAGCAGGAACTGTGTTTCTCATTTGTTTTTGGATGCATATTCTTTCTTCTGCATTTTTTCTTCCCTCTGTTTCAAGTCTAATCAGTTTTACATTCATTTTTTTTTTGTCTGTGTGACCGCTGTCTACAAAACATATGGAGCACCTGTGCTTTAGCCCCATATCCATTGAGTTCTCTGTTGGTTTCCGCCAGAACCACATGGCTATCTTCTCCTCTTTCCTCCTTAATCCCAGGGATCGCTGCTCTTTTAGTGCTTCTTTCCCACATCCTCCTCAGTTTCCTGTAAGGCAGCTTCTTCAAGCCCCCGAAGGCTTCGATTACAGACCACCAGCTATATAAGGTTCTGTCATCACCAATTACAGCCCACAACCTGCCACAACAGACGGGAAGGGCCAACCTAATGCCATTCCCTCAAGTGTACCCTAACGGTCTTAAAGGCCTATCCTAGCTGTCTTAATCTCTTTGTTCCCATGAGTCTCTGCTGGGGATCCACGCCTCTTTTAATGTTGTGAGCGTCTGAGCCCTGGATGACACTCTGGTATGAGTCTCTTGGTCCTGCTCCCAGTGTCTGCAGCAACGGTTGTCAACTCATTCTCAGTTTCACACAGCAGCTAATCCAGCCATTTAATAATCATCATGTTTGTCCTTATGGGACTGATTCTGAGGCCATGGCTGTTTTGGGAAGCGGCTGCTAGTTGATCTGTTTGAAGCGTGCTGCTGGGAGGCAGGACAGATATGCATTGTGCTCCCCTGTTACGAGGATGCAGACCGCAGGCGACAGCTCCAGTGTGAGCATCTCTGGAAATATCACCTCGTGTGTTCCTGCTAGAGGTCAAGTCAGCATGATCGATGTGTGGACTAGATTGTGCCACATCAGAGAAGTGGAATTGTTTATGCAGATTAGAGCTTTCACAGTAGTCAACTGTTTTGTGTTTTCTTTGGTTTTGCACTGTTACTGGACTGACCGCTGAGACGGCTAAATATGTCCTTTCACTTAACAATGGTCTCATTCTCTCTACTTATACAAACGCAGGGTTGTTAATGAAATCATGGAAAAAGACCTCATATTCTTTGTCTAATGGTATAAATTATTTTGTGTAATTTATTTTATTACTAATAATAATAAATTAAATATAATTAGTAGTGTTAATATTATGCATAACATAATCTAAATAAAAATAAAATTGTATAAGACATGTAAAAGCAGCCCATTAAGACAGTCAGTTTCACACTCACAGAAAATGGATGTTATGTGGCATCAGTGTCCTGGGACTAGCATGTAGGTATAAGCCCATGTTATGACTCCTGGATGGGACATCCAGTACCAGATGTCAAATTTGGCCCGTAAGCATTAACAACTTTTTGTACTCTACCGGTTTTGTTTGTGTGCAGCTCCTTGTGGATTTTGAAACGTGTGTGCTCATAGAATGTTTAAGCAGCATTACCTGTATGTTCATTTCAGAGTCAGGCAGAAGCCCACTACAAGGGGAACCGTCATGCTAGGAGAGTCAAAGGCATCGAGACCTCAAAGAGCCGCCCACAAGAGAGTGACAAACCTCCTCCCGGGCCCATCTCGTCCCCCTCACCTACGGGACCCTTGCTGGCTGTCTCAGACACTGAGCTCAACAAAACAGGTAAGAGCTTGAGAATAAGTGGCTTTGTACAATATAGTGATTGTAAAAAATACACATTTGGTCTTCTGTGCTCACTCACACATAACCTTTGGAAAGTAAAGAGATTCATTTGAAGAATGTAAAGCTACTGTAGGCAGTATATTCTGCTTCAAAATTCTTAAAAGAGATGACTGGAAAGCGAGGATACACTAATTCACCCTATGAATCAAAACTAGGACATGAAGAAACAGCAAATATTCAATCTGTGTGTGGTCTGACCTCACTCTTCAACAAGCAACCAATCGAACATTCCCATCACTGAAGGTCTAGGGTCTGTCACAGGGCAAAACTGTACAATAACAGAAAGAGACAAAGACAGCATTCTTAAGTCCCAGCACAAGATTTTAAATAGCTAGTTTATGAAATATAAGATGGTGCAATCCTTGTTGAAACATCTTGAGGAAGTCTGGGTAAAGGTCTTGAACATGGACCACCATATTCAGAGCCTAATTTTACTAGAGTGGCGTGACTGACCATGACCACTTGATTTGCAGCTTTATTAGGAAGGCCTAGCTGATGTGTTTATGGAGCTGTGTGCAGGGTTATTAGGTATTAAAAGCTCATTTGTCTCTGCATCAGAATAAACTTTGGGATTAGGAGGGATGGGTTGGAGCAGAGGATGAGCAGTGAGTGAGAGTTTGTGAGACATAGATTGTGGATATAAAAAAGTTCAGAGTTCTGAGGATTAGTTAAGAGGGAGAAGGGAAACATCACAGTTCATCTTGGTTTAATGAGTGATTAAACACTGGCAGATCATAATGATGGTAAGATGAAATGGGGGCGCAGAGTTTATAAACTGCCAGAGGGTGGGTGACTCCCTCTTGTGCCTGTTATATGCCGGTTTTCTTTCCCTATGTCTCCATGTCTCCGCTCCCTGCACTTTCCATTATTGCCAGGCTCAATTTGTATCAAACCATCAGCCCCCACAACTGGTAGATGTTTTATGAGAAGCTTCAAAGTGTTTGAATTTAACTGCCTTTAAATGTAATATAGTGATTTGGTGCTCGAGAAACATTTTGTTTTATTATCAATGTTGGCAGCAGTTGTGCTGCTTATTGTTTTGGTGAAAACTGTGATAGTTGTTTTTTCCAGGATTCTTTGATAAATAGAAAGTTCAAAAGAACAGCATTTATTTGAAATGGAAATCTTTACCTAATTGCTAAAATAGTGGCATATCTTTAGTCAGGACAACTTAACATTTTAAGTGAGGTCAAGACATTTAAATGAGACAAGTAAATTAATTCATCTCAAAAAAAATATGCAAACTGTTTTACGATTACAGAATGACTGCTTTAATTCCCACCTCCCCCTCATCCTGCTCATGGTCTCTGTCACAGAGGATGGAGGAGGACAGTATAGCCGTGTCTCTCACTGAGGGATTTGCCTGTCCAGAGAAAACTGTCTACAGTCCTCAGGCCGAGAAAAAATTCCAGCGGGAGAGAGCCAAAACAAACCGGCCATGATCTAAATGTGAAACCAGATACATGTGAAAGAATGCCGTTTTCCATCCAAAGCTCACTCCCGTGACCCCGACCCCTAGCGGGCTGGTGGCTCGCTTGTTTGTATATCCCGACAATCACTTTGTTTTAATGCCCATAATACTAGTTTCACAACAGAGTCTTCATTGAGCTGCCAACCCCTTGAGTCATGACAGCTGCAGTTCCATCTGGACATTGCAATCCCAGCGTGTAGAGAAGTGTGTGTGTGTGTGAGATTGTGCAGTGTAAATTTATTTAGCAAATGTTTAGAGCTTGCTGAGTGTGTTTCTCTTCACACTCCCCCCCCCCATTGCAGTCAGAGTTTACAAGCATGCAACTAGATATTGGGGATGCATCAGGGTTCGGTACTTGGGCCTAATCATTACAGTATATCTCACATGTCTACACATCAAGCTTTCTGCTCTCTCTCGGTGTGGGTTTTTATGTGAAAGCTCAAGAGGAGAATTCCCACGCTTCATGAAAAACCCAATGTCGCGTTGGACCTCAGCTGCCGGAGATGTAATTTATTGATGATTTTCTTTCACGCATCAGTAAAGCCAGTTTTGCTTCTTAGAGGTAGAAAGACAATACTCAGACCTATGGAGTCACCTTTTTAGTGGTTATAGAGTTTCAGCTGCCTTCTGCATGTTTCCTTGACTGTCTCCTGAACCATTGATAATTTAAAAGGATAGTTCACCCCCAAAAAATGTGTATACACTGCCGTTCAAAAGTTTGGGTTCAGTGAGATTTTTTGGAGCAGCAAATAGCATATCAGAATGATTTCTGAATGATCATGTCACACTGAAGACTGAAGTAATGGCTGCTAAAATAATGAAGCTTTTCCATCACAGGAATAAATTACGTTTTAACATATATTAAAATAGAAAATAGTTTTTCTTAAATAATATTATTAGCATAATATACACTATTAATTCCACACCAATATAGTTTGTTCTTAGATACATTCTTAGCTCTTTTACAAGGAATTTTAGCTGTGGTTTATCTAATTATGATGTTTGCTTATTCCTTATATTTAACTTTTTACATGTCCCGTGTTAGGGACACTTTTATTCTAGTGAAGATTTGTTTGTAAGGCTTGAACGCAGCTAACAGGGCCCATAATAGCATGGAGAATTGGCAGGATGTGCAGGAGGTTTGGCATTGAACCGTCTTAGCACTCTGTTTGTCCCCAAGATCCACTTCTGCACAGTCACTGCTTAATGAAGCCATACGTCTCCAGCAGTCTTCTACACATCTGGAGATTGTATAGAGACAGAAGGCTGCACGACACTCGTCTGGGCCTCCATATTTCACAGCATAAGCTTGAAGTGCCATTAAATTTCCTGCTAGATCTTTCTCCATCTCCGACAACATGGTTCTGCTGAGCTACAGTGGCAGAATCTCCACTTTTACATGCAGATTCTATAGAAACAAGAGGATCGTTTGGTAAACAGGCCTGCTCTAAGATGCATCTGGGAAACAGCGATCTGAGCGAGGCAAATGAATGCACCCAACTCCATAATTAATAAGTCCCAAAGCTCATTCAGGCATCTTGTTTCAGGGTTCATTAATCATTAATGGTGGGCAGGGTAGGAGTGGGGTAAAGGCCGGCCTCTTTTCTACCTGACCCCTCGAATATCTGATCCACCTGCATGGGTCACAATCAGACCCCTCCTTCACCACATCACACTCCATCTTCTCCGCTATAGCTCTGTCAGTGGCTGTGAAACCAGAGCAGCATTAATAGCAGGATTAGTTTACTGTCTGGAAACTGAGAGATTGTTCTTGTGGGTTCAGGTTTATATGTGGAGTCTGTAACTAAGCTATCATAATTCTACTAAATGCACAGGCATCATTTACACTTTCTGTCAAGGCCAATTTTGTCCTAATCAATAACTGGAATAACTCACAGCAGGATGTGACTAATCGACAAAGCTTTTTCCAATTGTTCTGCAGGTGTTTTCAGGCTGTTGTGTGTTATAATTAAGTTACAATCCAATAGAATTTGTTATTATTTGTTGTGTTTTAAATAAACAGCTCTGACATGCTCTCCACCTCCCATTGTAACTTGCTATCAGTTATGGTAAAAAAAGAAGTTGTTTTTCTGTTGTTATATTGTCCTATACAGCCGTGCAGATATACAGCAATATCGCACTGCTACTCGTGTGATATTGCTCTATTTGTTTTATAAAAATGTATATTAGGGTGGATTAGAATACTGAACAGCATGTATTCAAAGGTAAACCGTTAAACCAAAAATCATGAATGGCAGATAAGTAAGGTATCTTTATTCATTATTAACGTTTATTCATTTGAATGTTGAATTAAAAAACTGTCTCAACGTATCAGCATTTCCACAAAAATATTAAGGAGCGGTTTTCAACATTGATAATAAGGAATGTTTCTTTAGCAGCAAATCAGCATATTAGAATGATTTCTGAATGATCATGTGATACTGAAGACTGGAGTAATGATGCTAAAAATCACAGGACTTTTAAAAAAAAAAATGTATCAACATTAAAAAGTTATTTTAAATAGTTATAATATTTCACAAAATTCCTGGTTCACTGTATTTACTGTATTTTTTGATCAAATAAATGCAGCCTTGGTGAGCATAAATGAATTTTTTTCTTTTTTTTTACATATTAAAAAATCTTACTGACCCCATAAGCGTTTGAATGGTAGTATAACATTTATCAAAACAGTAAAAATAATTGTGACATCCCAACCAGCTCTGTCCCTGCCTCTTTGTAATACAAAGTGATGCCCATGATTCCATGCCCACTGATTTGCAACAGTTACACGTGTAAAGCAAAATTAAAACAATATTTTGGGTTTCTGTTGGACCTCTGAACTTTCATGAAAATATTTACATCATTACTAGCTTGTGTTTACAGCGGCTGACTCCTTCAGCAGTTGAAGGAAAGCGGGTGTTAATTTAGGCATTAAATATGAGTCCTCAGAGAGTGCATGTTGTGTAACCGCACTTTCAAATATGCAGAGCAAGAATAAATGGAGGGCAGACGGGTGCACATTGCAGCGAACATGGAGGGCATGTCAGTGAGGGTGGTGGATAACAGCCGTCCAGAGGATGAAGAATTCTGAAATCCCCCATTACACACTCCTCCACCCCCTGAACCACGATCTGCTAACACAAACCACATGTGCACGGCCAAACCCACATTTTTCATTACACACGCAGTGTGTGTGTTTGTTAGAGGGTGGGGGCCTGTAAGGGAATGGGGTGTGTTGTGGAAAAGGAGCAGTGGGAATATGAGCTCAGAGTTATAAGTTCAGGCTTTTCAGAACCACTCCTGCACTGAATACAAGCCACATGGTTCGGCCTGTCCATTCTGATGCTGTAATAGCTATTGCACAAAGTGTTGATCTATATTTGGTGTGTTTTTTTTTTTTTGGAAGGGTCATGAGGTTTGCTGTAACATCCTGCATCTTCCAAAAGAGCAGTATGTCATCAACCCGTGCTTTGATCCAGATGATCTTTATGAGGCTCTGACAGGAGCTGAAGCCCTGCTCATCTGCTCCGCGAACAGAGAGACACAGAGAGAAATCTTCATGGAAACTTCCAATGTATAGAGAGAGAGAGAGAGAGAGAGAGAGAGAGAGAGAGAGAGAGAGAGAGAGAGAGAGAGAGAGAGAGAGAGAGAGAGAGAGAGAGAGAGAGAGAGAGAGAGAGAGAGAGAGAGAGAGAGAGAGAGAGAGAGAGAGAGAGAGCAGTTTCCTGTTAAATGAGGGATCTGGTTGCCTCTAACCAGCTCTTATACACCTGCCATTCAGGATTTGCCTCCACAGCAAAGGCAGTTGAACTTTAAATGTCATGGTGAATAAAACCTGAACAGTGTGTTTCTTAAGGAGACACTGAGTTCGAATGACTAAGAGTTTATGTAAGACGTTGTGGCCAAATGTTTGTAAAATGACAAAAACATACAGTACATAATCTTTGTAAGGAAATAGTGAGGTAACTGCACACTCAAAATATCTGACGCATGCATTTATTCCGCAATTGATCAAAAGTGACAGTACAGTACATTTATAATGTTACAAAATATTTTTATTTTAAATAAATGCTGTCTGACTCAAAAAATGTTAAAGAATATTAAGCAGCACAACTGCATTCAACATTGATAAGAAATATTATTTTTGAAAACATTTTAAATTTATTTAAAATTGTAATATTTGAAAATGTTACTGTTTTTACTGTAGTTTTGATCAGTAACAAACATTCTAAAGATAGTTTAAATGTAATGTTTTCCTTTTTCATACATAATAGCCTTATATGAGGCAGTTATTATGAGTTTTGCTTACTCTACTTAGTCTCAGTCGACAGAAACATGTTTAAATTAGCAACGACTGCTATTTCACGTCCTGAATACTTTAAACGGTATGGTTACATATTTCTCAGCATCTCCCATTTTAATTTAGAAATTAAACTAAACAATATGTGATGCCTCATAAAAAATACAAACATATGTAAATTATTTTATTTTATGAAGTCATTTTTTTGTAAACTTGTTTTTATGTGGTCTCTAAAGGCTGGGGTTGGACACTTTAAGATGAGGTATTTGAAGTACGCCTGGTTTGAGGTTTACAGGAAAAAACACATTTCTGAGGCATGAACCGAAAGCTCTTGAATTCTTGCATAGCAGCGTTGTTATTGTCAAAGATGAAGCAGCAGAGCCCATTAACTTCCAGAAATACTCCATTTAAATGTCATTTTGTTGTTTGTTTTGCAGATGAGACGCGGCCAGCGCCACAGTTAAACGGACCCGCGGTGGCCCCGGGGCCCGTGGCCATTTCTGCTCCCCCTACCCCAGAATCCCCCGGTCCTTCTGCATGTCCCCTTCTGTCCACCCCCACTAACCCTCAACCACCCCCAGCCACCTCCTCATCCCCCGGCTGTGGCTCTTCTAACCCAGAGCAGGCTGGCACTGGGGCCCCTGGGGCCCCATCAGTCACTCCCAGCAACCCTGAGACAGAAGAGGACAAAGCCAAGAAGCTGCTTTACTGCTCACTGTGCAAAGTGGCCGTCAATTCGCTCTCCCAGTTGGAGGCCCACAATAAAGGTGAACATTAATTTAGCGACAGCTCATCTTGACTCAATAACTTATCCGTCTGACTGATTACACAACACATTATTGGAATAAAGAGTCTCCAATAGGTGCTTAGAGGTGGATAGATTGTACATAATCCCAAATGCCCCCTGTGTATTTTCTTGTTTGGGGGATTCACTAGTCTGTATACCCGTGACTTTGTACTATCATAATTGTAAAACTCAAAAGTCATTGTAAGACTCCATAGTATCATATGCAGCAACAATATGATGCTGCAATCACTTTTCATGACAGAAAACCATAAAAAGCAAATGCAAAGGTGTACTACAGTGTTAATCTGCTTTGTTAATGTTACTTTTATGGGGGAGAATTTACATTTTGGCAGTGACAGGTGCATTGAGAAAATTTACCAGCCATAAATATTTTCCATTTTATATTCCATTATATTTAAATCTTCCTGTCACCAAGCAATATATATAATTGCTTGCCATATTTTTTATTTTCATGGATTAATGCAATATACTCAAGCACTTTGAGTACCCAGAGAAGCGCTATATAAATGTAACAAATTATTATTATTATTATTAAGAAGCATTCCATATAGAAATGTAATATTCGTTATTCCATAAAATATACATCTTACATACATTTCCGATGGTAGAAGATAAGAAGTTATGACTGATCCTTTTATTTATTATTTAAATCGCAGAGAGTTAGACCATTTTTCAAATTGGATTAAAACCATGTATTATGTTGCAGTTCCTAATAAATTTGCTGACAAACTGGGAAATATCGTAAGTTAAGGATTTATATAGTCCTCCTTACTTGAATTTTGCACTTGGCAAATGTTAAATTCTGACCTTCTGGTTGCCTTTCTCAATACTTGCACAAATTACTTCAGAAGACAGAATTATTTTAAGAAGAGTCTGCAAGATTGATCTTGTTCTGAAATATGTTTTGCGTAGCTCAAGGCAGCTCACAGGGGAACACTAGCGATTATGTCCATCACAGGAAAGAAAAAGCTTTAAACTTCTAAAACAGCCGTCTTTAGAAGCTTTCACTCACTCATGATTTATACACAACTTTACAGCGCCACTTGTCCTCTTGGTTTTCCCCCAAAGGTGTGCAGAAAAACAAATGGAGTAGATCAGTTTTTGAATTGCAGTGCAGCTTGTAGTATTTAGGGGAGTGTTTGATTTCTCGTAGTATATCGAATGCCTGAGCAGATCTCATTCTGTTCTATTATTCAGTTTGTGTCAACATAAACAACCCTGTTTGAAGAGACCAAGGTGGATGTTGAGGAGACTCTGCTGCAGAGGCACACACAACTCTCTTTATTATTGATCTCCTCTTTTATTTATCAGGAAAAACTGCAGTCATAGTTTCAGTATGTTTAGGAATTTCTCATGTTGAGCTTGTTGATTAAATAGTCTGTTTTTCCCCAGGCCAAAAAAAAATTAAAAAAAAATTATGCTTTTATAAAGTATTTGAGAATTGTTTATGTGGACTGAAAATTACACTTTGATACATGGAAGCCACATGGAAGTCGTTCCTCTTGGAACACGACTATGTTTTAAAGTAAACATTACAAGTTATGAGTGATATCAGGGCGCTGTTGCCGATGGAAGCGTGAATTTATAATCATGGCCTGGGTTAAGGAAAGCTATCTGGAATCAATACAGTCCATTCCCTAAATTAAACTCCTAACCACAGCCAAAAATCAAATCATATGTTGTGCAGACAGCCACAGATATAAGTCAGGAGAGTTTTAGCTTACTTTATTTCTGCAGCTCTATGTCCAGACGCAGCTGTCAATTCTTGTTTTATCTGTTTATTTCTCAGACGGCATTTACAAATGACCGTTACACAGTGAAACTAGCCACACTCATTGTTTGGAACAATTTTTTAATGTAAATATTGCAAGAGTGCATTTTTTTAACAGCACAAAGGTCATTGTATTGCCTTGTCTACTCAAACCCAAAGTTAAGGTGAACTTTTGGTCAAAGGGAGAAAATTAAAATGTCTGCTTTTGATTTGGCAAGAGAATGTGTCGACATTCTCAATGTTTTCTTGGTTAAGAACAAAACAAAGACATTAGTTCTTAGGAACCCAAGCATGTGGACATCACGTGTTTTTTTTTTTTTTTGTCCATATAGCTGTGTTTTCATTGACATTGTGAGGCCAGGAACATGACGGCGAAACATTTAAGGAGAACCATGTGTTGCATGGCTCAAAATACAGGAAATGGAAAATTAATGAGCTTCGTTGTAACGACGACAGCCAAATTAAAAAAAAATCTCGAAGACTTGAAGAATTCAGTTTTGCAACAAAGTTTTGAAATTGAAAGCCAAGCAATATATCTTGATTTATAATCAGCCCTGTACAATATTGTAACCTGAATGAAATTCAAAAATGATATGATTTACAAATGCAAAACATTCCGATAAAAGAATGGTGTGACTGCTTATTAGACATGTGGACAGGAGGAATAAGAATAATCCCTGGCATGAGCAGCTGCAGTCAAGGATAATTCAAAGTGGAAGATTCAAGTGCCCTCTAGTGGTCGCGACTGGATATTACAGTTCATATTATCTTTATAGATAAATACATTTAATCTATTTATTTATCTTATATTATTTCATAATATTCTCATTTTATTCTATTTTATATTATTATTATAATTTTATTTTATGTATTTATTAATTAATTCTGTCACACTTTAGATTAGGGTCCAATTCTCACTATTAATTATAACTCCTAATTACTGCTTATTAATGGTTAGGTTAATTTAGGTATTGTGTAGGATTAAGGATGTAGAATATGGTCATGCAGAATAACGCATTAATATGTGATTTGTAAGTACTAATAAACAGCCAATACCGAAGTAATATGAATGCTAATAACCAACTAGTTAACAGTGAGAACTGGACCCTAAACTAATAATAAAAAGTGTTAACATTAATTTATTTATTTATTTATGTGTATATACACAACTGTTCAAAAGTTTGGGGTCTTTTATACTTTTATTTCGCAAGGATGCATTCAATCTTTAAAAGTGATTTTTTTTTCTCTCTTTTTATCAAAGAATCCTGAAAAAATCAATCACAATTTACACAAAAAAATATTAAGCAGCAGAACTGTTTTCAACATTGATAATAATAAGAAAAAAGAGTTTCTTGATTAGCAAATCAGCATATTAGAATTATTTCTGAAGGATCATGTGACACTGAAGACTGGAGTAATGATGCTGAAAATTCAGCTTTGTATCACAGGAATAAATTACTTTTGAAAATATATTAAAATACAAAACAGTTATTTTAAATTGAAATAGTATTTCACAATATTATTGTATTTTTGATCAAATAAATGCAGTCTTGGTGAGCATAAGAGACATTAATAAAAATCTTACCAAGCCCAAACTTTTTTTTAACCATAGATTAAATGCATGTACACAGTATGCGCATGTGTTTTCATTTATAAAAAAACACTTTTGTTTTTCTCTGTGCTCCTCAGGCACTAAACACAAAACCATTCTGGAAGCCCGCAGCGGACTGGGCCCCATTAAGGCATACCCTCGTTTGGGTCCGAAGCCCAGCGGGGAGCAGGGAGGCGGGGCCTCAGACCCCAATACTCAGGAACGCACCTTCCACTGTGAGATCTGCAATGTGCGGGTCAACTCAGAACTACAGCTCAAACAGGTGAGCGAGGGTTATGGTCTTCATATATCATGAAATAACATTAGTCTGTTTGCTTTAATATGCTCGCCATGTTGTTTATACTAAATAAAATTGTCATCTATGGACTATGTTTGCAGCACATATCAAGTCGACGGCACCGGGACGGAGTGGCAGGAAAGCCAAACCCCCTCCTGAGCCGACACAAGAAGCACAGGGGAGCTGACCTTGCTGTAAGTGGTAACCGAACCTGATACTGGTTACAATCCTAATTTAAATGTGCTAACATGCACTGAAAGTTATATTTGATAATTGGATGTCAAATTACTGTATGATATCGCTGAGTCATAACGTTTTTATCTTATATAGGATCTCACCAAAGCATTAGGCGCCGGCCTCCTGCCGAGTCCTCTGGCCGTTGCTGCGGCAATGGCAGCGGCCGCCTCCTCCAATCAGCTGGCTCTCCGCGCAGCAGCCCCCACCCATCCACATCATCACCTGCTGCAGGGTCCGCCCCTCAGTCACGCCATCTTGAGACCAGCTCCGGGGCCCATACGCACCTCACACGGTCCGATCCTGTTCTCGCCGTACTGACTCCGCCCTCACCCCCCTTAGCCAATCACAGCCAGTCCGGAGCCTCACCTCCAAAAGCACACTGTGAAGACGAAAAAAAATAGTGAAACAAACATCACAGAAATGACTAGAATCGGCTCATCAACAACAACGTCAATCATCAAACCAAGCAGAAGGGGGCGCAAAGTGGGAGCAATCACGAAGGAGGGTGCAACTGGCGTTCCAACTCTCTTTTCACCACCCTTAACTGCCTCCTCCATCTCCGTTCGTTTGGTTTGAGTGATTTATTTGTTGGTGGACGAATGGACAAATGCAGGGATTGTTGGAATAGAGCAATATTGTATGTATCTGACATCCTTGTTCCTTCCCTCTATTTATACTCATACTGTGAGGTAGCAGAAGTCACATCGTAGCCAGACATGCTGGAATGAGTTAGGCAACTATCTAGAGACCCCAAAACACACAACCCAACACACAAAGACTACAGTTAAATGTTTCTGTTGTTCGGAATAAATGCACCCTCAACCCCTATGCACCTTGAGAAACATACAAAACCATGTTACATCAGTACGCTTCTCGTAGTATTCTCTGTATTCAACTTGTCCTGTCTGGCTTTGGCATCTTCGCAAGAGAAAAACGCCACAATCTCAGTCGCAGTTCCACCATGTCAAGGCTCAAAGCAGGGGATTGTGGGGAAGGTCTAAGGATGCTCGACTCTTTCCGAATGCTGGTTCGAAATGAGCGTTTGAAGCTCAGCGTCGTCGACTTCATAGTCGCATCTCTCTAGGGAAACAGAGAGATGCAGAAGAGATACTCAAGATCTCTTTTGTGTCGCTTTTACATCCGTTAGCGCTAGGAGCGGTTGACTGAAAAACCCCAGACCTCTGTCTAGAGCTTAGAAAATCAGTAGATGTCTATTTATTCTATTGCGTAGTGTAGCGTAGTTTAGTTCAGAACATCCAAGCTGGTTGACTTAGGAAAAATATTCAGAAGTGAAATATGTGTGTAGAGAATGATGTAACTGCTGAATAAAGATGGACGGGTCCTTTGATTCTCAGAGAAAGGCAGCAGATCTAAGCACACACTTGGACTAACAGTACAGGCTCCTCTGTTCATTTTGTCTCTGTATGTTCGGTGGACATTATGCAACCCCTAGCAATACGCCCCCCTTCTGCGTTCAGTCTCACGAGACGGCCTGCATCCCCGGCAAAGATTGACACTGCAGGTCAGCCACTCCAGTGGAACCCCAAGAGATCTTGAAAAATGAACCGAGTGAAGACGCAGAGGAGGGTCACTAAGGACACGACTGTGCAATCTCTCCTGTTTTTGGTATGAACTTCCTGTCTTGAATCTAAAGCCATGCAATGCATATGATTTTTTATTTTTATTATGATCAATTAATTGTTTTGATGTTAGTTTTTTTGGGTTCCTTTTCATAGTACACTGTTACGTTGAACAAATATTGTTGTGGAAATCATTGAACAAAAGAAAAAAACAAGAATATTTTTCTATGGAAGATTGAAAGCCTGCACTTGGATGGGATCGTAATGCGGCTTAGAAAGCGTATTTTGGAGGTGAAGTACGAATACAGATAAACATCAAACTAGGGCCTGTCGTGGTGGTGGAACTACGCGGCAGTCTTCCATTGATAAGCAAAGTGTGACAATGTCTTACTGTTGTTTGGATATTGCAATGCAATAATCAATTGAATTATGTAATTTGTTGTAGAAGATCCTTTATAAATGGTTCTGTACGGCTGCTAATAGGCCTCCATGTTCTTCCACAGAGATAAATTAGCCTTTTCAGTACAAATGCTGGGAGTTTAAAAGCAAGAAATGGGCACCCAAAGGGACGGGTCCTTCATATTAAAGGGTCTTTTCTCATCTCTGAGTGGGGGGACAGGGTATATCTGAACGCAAACAATGTGTAGTCAGCCATAGTCTTTGCGTATGTAGCTTAGTTCGACTTTTTGTTTCTTCGTGGCATTGTTTGCATTGTGTGGGAAGCGTCATGATAATGCCATTACTTCATGCTAACTGTGGTTAGCGTCCACCATTGTGCTTTGATGAAACTTTACCTCTGTTTCTCATTAGTTATCGGGGCACTAGTATATGGTGTAGTTTCATGTCGGTGTGTATCGTGATGTGTCGTGTGCGTACGGATAGAATCCGGTTCTGGAGAACTTTCGATGGGCAGAACCTGCCTTAAAAGGATAGTTCACTAAAAGAATAATCTTATTTTGTCATTTACTCACCCTTCATGTAATTTCAAACCCATATGCTGCTTTTTTTTTAGAGGAAAACAGAAGGAGATATGTATGAAGTATCACAGTACAGCAACAGTCATGTCAAAAACATAAAGTGTTCAGAAATAGTCTATGACTCTTGCATGGAGTCTTTTGTAGAGATAAATACAATAACCGTCTTTCGGCAAATTTGCCATTGAAATTCACGCCACCTACTGTCAGAGAGTAATTTTGCATTTTAGTCTGCCTTTTTTTGTTCAGACCAATTATATACAGTATAGACCTAATATTCTGCATAAGGTCTGTATATAATTGGTGCGCCAGAAAAACAAGCGCGCAGCCATCTTTAAAATTTTGTGTTCGAACTTCTGTGTTTCTACGGTAGCTCTGTATATTTCTATGGCATCGCTGTCAAAGAGTAATTAGCTGGTAAAGTGGATTTACTTATTGTAGAGTTAACGAAAGCTATTATGAGCGTTGTAAAATGTTAAGCGAATGTCATAACAAATGTCAGTAAACCGGGAAGATTTTAAAACGAGAGGTTGATTCATAAATCCGTAAAAGATCTTACCGTCATGCTGTGGTAATACAAACTGGAAGACAGAACACAAGCGCAATGCTGAAAAGGGGCGGAGCTACATACGGTCTATAACATACTACTTATGTGAGATTTATCATTTTCTAAAACTTTTTATTTTTGTCAAAACCTACATTATTTAAACAGTAAAGATGTTTGAATCGTAGTGTTTACAGTAGCCTACAGACCATTGACATTGGAGTTATTTCAAAGCAACATGCTACCTAAACAAAAATGTACTTCTATTCTAATTTCAGAATTTTCCAAAACTATATAAATTGCAGATTCCAAGAATTTTGACCATGCATATGCATATATATAGTGTTCTATGGGACAGCTTGTGGGTTTGGACCAACATGAGGGTGATTAAATAACGACAGTGTTTTAATTTTGGGGTGACCTATTCCTTTAAACTGCACATCTACAATCAGCTGTTTCTATCCCAAACTTAATTATTAAAACAATCAGTGGACGGAGTATTCGGCTGATTTTAGATGAGCATTTTGTGGTAACACTAGTATGCCCACTGACACATGCTGTAGTTTGAAACCAGGTGTCCAGTGCCCCATTGAAACCATGTGAGGTGATAAAGCCATCACAGCTAACACACTCCACAGGCTCGAGACAGACTCGCTTAGTCCCATCCGTCAACACTGTAAAGACCATGTTCATCCTGTAGTCAGAACTGTCATCACTGTACAGAATTGTCTTTGGTAGATTTATTCAACCTTTCAGGGCAGGTGTAATGTTAGTTGGTGAAGTCTATTTTAGCCTTAGCCTTATTCTACACCAGGCCTCTCCAGGAGCAGACGCGGACGGAGAAGCTTCGGTCAAACCTCGTCTTGCCAATAAAGTTATTTTTGAATTAAATTGTCAGATGGGAAAACTGTATGTGTGATGGAACGTAGCAATATTCAACTCATACTGGCTACTCTTGTTTATTGCAATAAGGAAATCAACCAATAGATGCATATGTGAGTACAATAATATAGATGTAATTTAAATCAAACACAGAAAATTATGGAAAAACTTGGTATCAGAGAAACTTGGAGTTACCACAGGGGAAAAAAAAAGAAAAAAAAATCAATGTCTATAAATCAATAAAGAATATTAAAACTCATGTCTCATGCTTCTTTTTTCAGTTTCTTTAAATGAGATGTTCTAATTATAGTCAAAAAGTTACCTCTCAAATTATTTAAAACATCGAGGCACACTGTAAAAAAAGAAGGTTGTTTTTATAGAAAAAATTGGCATGTAATCATTCTGTAAAATATATAGTAAAATGTAAAAATATTTACAGAACCTGTAAAGTTTAAAACTATAATTTACATAAAATTACATTTTAAATTAGTAAATCCAACAGCCCCTTTCTAGAGAATTACACTGCTACTAAAAGTTTTGTACATTTAACATATACTGACCACCACCATGATAACACAAATTGAAAGAGAACGAAGAAAAATCCACATGAAGAATGAAATTTCATCACAAGTAGACTTTTTTCACAAGCAAAGTTAAAAATCATAGAAGGTGCACAAAGTCATACACACAAACAAAACTCCTAACACACATGACACTACAATAATGCAATAAACATTAATGAAAAAACAAGTTGTAACATAAAACCCTAACTAATAACAAAAACTAATGAGAAACCATTATATAGGCCTAGATGAAATATCAAATCTTAAGTGTCTCACAATGAATTTGGGGAATGTCAGTTTACAGGTTTTTACTGTAAATTATATGACGTTCTTTTTCAATTCCAATTTTTTTTTTAACTGTAAAAAACAATAAATGAAAGACTAAATCCATTAGCCTACACAGGTTTAAGGAAACTTAGGCTACCGGTAACCAACTAACAGGTTTTTACTTCAGCATTTGTACAGTCTTTTACAGTTTAAATATTATTTTTACAGTGCAGAAACTGTAAAAAAAAAGAAAAAAAAAAAAAGAAGAAGTAACCCCCACGTTCTTTCAAGAGTACATTGCACAGGAAGTGACTATATTTAAGCAGCTTGTGTGTAAACTCTTATTTTGGGTCACTAGATGGCGCTCTAGGACTGATAGGCTATGCTCACAGTGCATAAAGCGCACTGAAAAACGCGGACTAGTGCGCTGAGGATTTTGTACAGTAACAGCTGCTGTGAGGAATTAAAACTATTTAATAACGTATGAATACATGCTTTATATAAACTAGCACCTTCTGTGATGTGTGTTCATGTTTTGGTTGTAAACTCAGTGCACGTTTAAATTGTTTATTTTGAAGTAGGCCTAGGCTATGCTAATGTCATAAAAAATATGGGGCATGATGTGTCTGTCTGAACTTTATGTTTATCCCTCTCCTCATTTGTAGTTCTGTGAACACATTTCAGTCCATAGTGTGTTGATGTTGCCTGACAGACTGAATGTTAGTAACTTAGGTCAAAATCCTTTTGCCTTTATAGATTTGAACTTTGATCTCCGACCTTGCAGGTTACTGTTTTTATTAGAAACATCATTCAAAATTATTTATTCATGGAATTCCCCAGTCCATATGATATATAATACTGGGTGTAGAAATACTTATATGTAGGCTACTTCTACTTGTGTTATTATGAGTTGTCACAGTGAGAGTGTCTACATTAATATAAATGTGCCATATAAAATAGAGACCTAAAATGAATGTCATCATCTGTGTGGTAGTGTGCAGCAATGATAATGATTTTTATTAATGTCCATCAATCAACATTCCAATAAACTGTGAAGACTTCTAATATAGAATCCAATGGCTTGTATTGTCAGGGCTGTATATGCGCTAAACAAGCAACTGCCATTTTCATTCCAGATACTGGCATGCAAATCACTGCAGTCATGCTGTATGTTAATGAATTTACATCAGCAATCCAAGGGTTTGGGAGCAAGATTTTTTGCAGCATATAGTTGCAATAAATGGTCTTTTTGGACTGAAGGAAGGTTATGTTATTCATGATATGCACCCTTTTAAAGTTTGTTCCCTAAAGTTTTAGATCAGCATCATCCAAACTCAAGGAAAGTGCAGTTCTGCACTGAAATCCGAGCATTATTAGAGCTATAATCGTCTCCATAACACTTGAGAGCGGGACGGAGCACAGCTGAAGTACACGTACTGGGGTAGAGAGGATGGGTGAAAGGAAGAAGAGACAGGAGAGCTGTGGCAGACACACATCTCATAAGGACACAGTGTCAGAGTTTGAAAGGTTTACACGTCGCACTCTGCAAATGGAGAACTCCATTAGCTAAAATATGTGCCTGTGCTTTTATCAAAGATTTTAGCACTAACCTAACAGATCTGTGGAGATAATTGCACAGCAAATAACA